AGTCGAGTATGCAGTATACATGTTATTTATTTTCAACAGTAAAGACATGAAATACTAATAGGACAAGATGGACCAAAAATTCGACTGAAGACAGTTTAATGGATTAAAAGGCAGATGACATAAAAAAAATTCAAATGTTAAGGGCTTACACAGTTTCGGGTCAATACCCAAAATGTCAGTCAATACCTGGTGTGACTACCATTAGCAATGATCACTGCCACACATCTCCTGTACATTGAGTGGATCAGACGATTTGTGAAGGCCCTAGGGATCCTCCTGCACACATCCAGAGCAGCTGTGCGTAGTTCATCGGCAGTTGTAGGGACTGGGCGCACATTGTGCAGACGCCTTTGAACCTCATCCCACAAGTGTTCGATGGGGTTCAGATCAAGGCTGAGGGCTAGCCACGGTAGAACACGGATGTTGTGTTGTTGCAGAAAGGCCATGGTAGCTCTGGCAACATGGGGACGAGCGTTGTCCTGCTGGAAAATGTGTTGTTGATGTTGTGCAAAAAATGGAACAACGTGGGGTCTGATCACTTGGTCGATATACCGCTGAGCAGTGACGCCGTGTCCCCGACCTTGACCAACATTCAGAAAGCACATGGGTCCAAGTCTCGCATTAAGTCCAATCCTTGCCCATATCATGACGCTAGGTCCACCCCATGGATCCCTCTCCACAACGTTTTGTCAGCGAAACGATCACCTCGACGCCGCCAAATTCTTACTCTTCCGTCTGCATGGGAGACACAAAAGCGACTTTCATCAGAGAAGATGACACGCCTCCACTCACGATGACGCCAATTGTGATGACCCTGTGCCCACTGAAGTCGTGCTTGTCGATGCCGTGGTTGGAGAACAGGGCGACCTGCTGGTCGGCGACATCTGAGGTTGTTGGAACGGAGACGTCGGATCACAGTGTCCCGGCTAATGTGTCGATTATGTGTTCCTATGGTCTGTCGAGCACTTTTACTTGCAGTTAGGAACGGATGTCGCTGGTGTTGACGGGTAATCTGCCGATCTTGTCGAGGTGTGGTGACCCTAGGACGACCGCTCCGAGGAAGGTCATCTGTGGTCTGTGTAGCATTGTATCGAATTGTGGTTATGTTAACGTTGAAATGACGGGCAACATCTTGGACAGTCTCTCCAGCTTCCAAACGTCCGATAGCCTGGTTTCTCTGAATTTGAGTTAGGCGTGGCATTGTTGACCAAGGAGTGGTAGGTCCAAGAATCGGCCACAGTTTTATACCCACTACAGTTCGTGACAGTTCGTGCAATTTCGATTTCGCGAGAAATGGGTGCATGATACCCACATATTCATTGAAATGGTGCGTTTTGGCGATTCTGTTTTTATGTTGTGTTTTTACTCGGGGCTTCCAAAATGCAACCAAAAATATTGATAACAGCATCAGGCTTCACTACATACTAAAACTCATATCAATTTATGGTTCCGTGTTTGCTTAAAACCACTTGCGTTTTTTTTGCGTGTATATATATATATAAAGAAACGCAAGTGGTTTTATGGAATACTAGAAGGGACATTGTCGCGTTGTCGCATTGTCGCCCTTCCAAAAACAAGCAAAAAGTGTCAAAATTAACCAAAGCGCGACAGTGCGACAATGCGACAACGTGTCATGCGTCGGTTGACCGCCGACTTGTGTCATGCGTCGGTTGACCGCCGACTTGTGTCATGCGTCGGTTGACCGCCGACTTGTGTCATGCGTCGGTTGACCACCCACTTGTGTCATGTGTCGATTGACCACCCACTTGTGTCATGTGTCGGTTGACCACCCACTTGTGTCATGTGTCGGTTGACCACCCACTTGTGCCATGTGTCGGTTGACCACCCACTTGTGCCATGTGTCGGTTGACCGCCGAATTATGCCATGTGTCGGTTGACCGCCGACTTATGCAATGTGTCGGTTGACCGCCGACTTGTGTATCCTGTCATGTGTCAGTTGACCACCCACTTGTGTCATGTGTCAGTTGACCACCCACTTGTGTCATGCGTCGGTTGACCACCCACTTGTGCCATGTGTCGGTTGACCGCCGAATTATGCCATGTGTCGGTTGACCGCCGACTTATGCAATGTGTCGGTTGACCGCCGACTTGTGTATCCTGTCATGTGTCAGTTGACCACCCACTTGTGTCATGTGTCAGTTGACCACCCACTTGTGCCATGTGTCGGTTGACCGCCGACTTATGCCATGTGTCGGTTGACCGCCGACTTGTGCCATGTGTCGGTTGACCGCCGACTTGTGTATCCTGTCATGTGTCAGTTGACCACCCACTTGTGTCATGTGTCAGTTGACCACCCACTTGTGCCATGTGTCGGTTGACCGCCGACTTATGCCATGTGTCGGTTGACCGCCGACTTGTGTATCCTGTCATGTGTCAGTTGACCACCCACTTGTGTCATGTGTCAGTTGACCACCCACTTGTGTCATATGTCGGTTGACCGCCGACTTGTGTATTCTCTCATGTGTCGGTTGACCACCCACTTGTGCCATGTGTCATGCGTCGGTTGACCACCCACTTGTGCCATGTGTCGGTTGACCGCCGACTTATGCCATGTGTCGGTTGACCGCCAACTTGTGTCATGTGTCGATTGACCGCCTACTTGTGTATCCTGTCATGTGTCAGTTGACCACCCACTTGTGTCATGCGTCGGTTGACCACCCACTTGTGTCTTGTGTCATGTGTCGGTTGACCGCCAACTTGTGTCATGTGTCGGTAGGCCTCAGACTTGTGTCATGTGTCGGTTGATCACCCACTTGTGCCATGTGTCGGTTGACCGCGGACTTGTGTCTTGTGTCATGTGTCGGTTGACCACCCACTTGTGCCATGTGTCGGTTGACCACCCACTTGTGCCATGTGTCTGTTGACCGCGGACTTGTGTCTTGTGTCATGTGTCGGTTGACCACCCACTTGTGCCATGTGTCGGTTGACCACCGACTTCAAACAACGGCAGCGATACTCGTTGCTATGCATATCAACCTCTGTATTAATTGCCCCTGACCTCACCCAACTCACCCTCATACACCCACCTCACCCTCACACATCCAAGTCACCCTCATATGCCCACCTCACCCTCATATGCCCACCTCGCCCTCATACGCCCGCCTCACCCTCATACATCCGCCTCAACCTCATAATCCACCTCACCCTCACCGACCCACCTCACCCCCATGCGCCCGCCTCACCCTCATACATCCACCTCACCCTCATACGCCCGCCTCACCATCATACATCCACCTCACCCTCATACATCCACCTCACCCTCATACATCCACCTCACCCTCATACACCCAGCTCACCCTCATTCGCCCGCCTCACGCTCAAAAAACCACCTCACCCTCATAATCCACCTCACCCTCACACACACACCTCACCTTCATACGGCCGCCTCACCCTCATACGCCCACCTCACCCCCATACGCCCGCCTCATCCTCATACATCCACCTCACCCTCATAATCCACCTCACCCTCATACGCCCGCCTCACCCTCATACACCAAATCACCCTCATACACCCACCTCACCCTCACACACCTACTTCACCCTAATACACCCACCTCATCCACATACACCCACCTCACCCTCACACACCTACCTCAACCTCATACACCCACCTCACCCTCATACACCTACCTCATCCACATACACCTACCTCACCTTCATACACCAACCTCACCCTCACACACCTACCTCACCCTCATACACCAACCTCACCCTCACAACCCCACCTCCCCCCATACACCAACGTCACCTTCATACACCCACCTCACCCTCATACACCCATCTCACCCTCATACACCCACCTCACCCTCATACACCAACCTCACCCTCACAACCCCACCTCCCCCCATACACCAACGTCACCCTCATACACCCACCTCACCTTCATACACTCACCTCATCCTCACCCACCTCACCTTCATACACCCATCTCACCCTCATACACCCACCTCACCTCATCCTCACCCACCTCACCCTCATACTCCAACATCACCTTCATACACCATCTCACCTTCATACACCCATCTCACCCTCATACACCAACCTCACCCTCACCCCCCCACCTCACCCCCATACACCAACCTCACCTTCATACGCCCACCTCACCTTCATACACCCACCTCACCTCATCCTCACCCTAATACTCCAACATCACCTTCATACACCCATCTCACCCTCATACACCAACCTCACCCTCATACGCCCGTCTCACCCTCACACACCTCACCCTCACCCCATACACCAACCTCACCTTCATACACCCACCTCACCCTCATCCACCCACCTCATCCTCACCCACCTCACCCTCATACGCCCGTCTCACCCTCATACACCCACCTCACCCTCACACCCCCACCTCACCCCATACACCAACCTCACCTTCATACACCCATCTCACCCTCATACACCCACCTCATCCTAATACACCCACCTCACACTCACTCACCCACCTCATCCTCACCCACCTCACCCTCATACACCAACCTCACCTTCATACACCCATCTCACCCTCATACACCCACCTCACCCTAATACACCCACCTCACACTCACTCACCCACTTCATCCTCACCCACCTCACCCTCATACACCAACCTCACCTTCATACACCTATCTCACCCTCATACACCCACCTCACCCTCATACACCCATCTCACACTCACTCACCCACCTCATCCTCACGCACCTCGTCCTCATACACCCACCTCACCTTCATACACCCACCTCACCCTCATACACAACCTCACCTTCATACACCCATCTCACACTCACTCACCTACGTCACCCTCACCCACCCACCCACCTCATCCTCTCCCACCTCACCCTCATACACTAACCTCACCTCCATACACCCATCTCACATTCACACACCTACCTCACCCTCATACACCCACCTCATCCTCACCCACCTCACCCTCACCCACGGTTCTCATCCCAACCCCCACCCCGCCACAACGCCCAACACACTCAATAAACACAATGTTACAACTATAGGATTGTTTATTCGATCGATATTATATACAAACATACAAAACAAAATAATAAATACGATAAAATGTATCTTGACAGTGTCAGCATATTATGGTTGATTGAGTGTTATGCAATGAAGTCAGGTTCTATTGGAAGAGCAAGATATTGCTATGAGGACATAAAATCAATGTTAAATGAGAAACGTGCACCTTCACGTTACATTCGTCACCACTCGTCTCTTTCCGTAACCTGCAATTCGGCTTGTCCCGGAATAACACGAGTTGGTCACGAATGCTTCACGTTACTTCGGCTTCTTCCGGAATGGCACGAGTGATCCAGGAATTGCACGAGTGATTACGAATGATACCGGGACAACCCTCATGGCGTGCCGATCACAGAAAGTGACGAATGCACTAAAATAACCGCTTTCGACCAGTTCAACCAGAGGCGCTACTCCGAACGTGGTGAGAAGCTGAGGTCAAAGTTCGGAAATGTCCAGTCACATTTACAGTTGTTCTGCACAGATGTACTCGGTAACCAGGCGGGGTGTAATCACTTCAATCACCGAAATGTCCAATATTCTCAGATGTACGATGGCAAGCTATAATTTAAGTTTGACATTTGCCTTGAATGAAGCTGAATTTGCTCGCCCCAGTCGCATTTCCTGTTGATATATTCTACAACTTTCACATGAAAAGTTATTATGGGTATATATGCTATTTGGGACAAGCAATTCACGACTTAGGCCCTGCTCAACAAAGCGATGTTAGCGTTAGGACTGTCACACCGGCCATCTTTTGCCCATCCAAGTTCGTTTAACGGACAGATCCAAGTTTTAATGTAATTTTTTAAACTGGGGTGAAAGTCAATCTTGATCTGAATATGTTTTTATGATATTATAATTACAGACGGAGTCGTCTATGTCAATTAAGCTCGGTTTCGTATTAATCAAGTGACAATAACTTCCTTTTTCCCTTACAGAGAAAGCCGTGGAGCGGAAAGCACCTTTAACTATGGTAGTTTTGGTAACTAAGACACCCAATGCGGTCTGTTTACTAAGGGGAAACGTCCGAAGTACCTCTAGCTTTAGGCAGACACCCGAGCAGAGGACCCTTCGCAAAGCGAACCCCGTTAATAAAGAAACCGCGAATTTCGGACACAAAGCCGCCTTTTCGAAGTTACCATCACAGGGGCGGACCCCCTGGACAACCCCTATTGAGTCAATCTGTAAACATACAGTTAAAACCCCTAGATCAACGAGGATGCACCTTCAAAACGGCTGGGTTTAGCTTCTGGAGCACTTCACATTCACAATAAAAAAATGCTTGTCGATTTGTTGAAATATTCATCTGCATGTTAGAACAGCCAGGGATCTGAACCTATCGAAAATCGGAACTGATGTTATCTCCTGGTTCAGATACGGACGAAGCATTATAGAAACATTCATTCGTTTAACGTCCGCTGTTCGTTTGTGAGGACGGATGCCAGTTTTAACTCCAGTACACGCAATGGCGCCGAGGATGCAGTCGAGAAGCACTGACAGTCAACGCTGCTATGACACTACTCTCGTCCATTCACACGTGATTTCCGTTGGGGAAACATTTCAGCTGCCTCGAGGGTGAACTTCATCAGGATTTCATGGGAATATTTCTGAAAACAAAAAAAGCGTTATGTTCTCATCAAATACGGAGGAAAATATTTTTTTTCTAAAAAATAGAGACGGAAGGATGTTGATATAAAAGATGGGCGTAATTTTGACATATTGCCTTGTACCAGAAAGCAGGTCGTCTGAGATAGTATACAATGGTATCACATATTGAGACTTTCAAAATAGAATCTAGAATAATATTAAAAATAATGCAAACATATTTACAAAACCGAAATTAAATAAGATAACTCTCCCATAACTCAATGAGTGGCTGAGTGAGTGACTGAGTGAGTGAGTATGGTTTTACGCCGCTTTTAGCAATATTCCAGCAATATGACGGCGGGGGACACCAGAAATGGGCTTCACACATTGTTCCCATGTTGAGTGGCTGAGTGAGAATCATTATTGACACTGTATGTTCTAACACCGATTCTTCGCTTATCTCGAAATACGGATAACACGACATATATTTGAGGATCACAGCGAAAAGAGTTCACACTTTCTTTAGTTAATGGCAGCAGTTTTTTTGTGAGCAGTTGTTTTAGCAGTTTTGCATCCATATCACGACTCCATAGATTTAGAACTGTTTTCACATATTATACTAACCAGACACAACACTCACCTAAGTCAGCAAACTCACCCACTTTCACCATCCCTCACTCACTCACTCACTCACTTAAACTGTCACTCACACCGTCATCACTCATCCAATCAAACCGTCATCCATTCACTATCTCAAACTGTCACCAACGCAATCGCACCGTCACACACCCACTCACTCATACACACCAGCCGTAACCTTCCCACTCACTCACACAGCCACACACCCACTCACTCATACACACATCGTCACCAGTCATCACTCACTCACTCACTCACTCACACCTTCATCCACTCATTCAGTCGCTGTCTCCACCCGTGAAGATCCGGGGTACAATAGGTCTTCAGCAACCCAAGCTTGCCATAAAAGGTGTCTTTGCTTGTCGTAAGAGGCGACTAACGGGATCAGGTGGTCAGGCTCGCTGCCTTGATTGATGCATGTCATTGTTTCCCAATTGCGTGGATCATGCTCATGATGTCAATCACTGGATTGTCTGGTCCAGACCCGATTATTTACAGACCGCCGTCATACAGCTGGACTATTGCTGAGTGCGGCGTAAACAAACAAACAAACAAACAAACAAGCACACAAACACACAAACACCCAGTCGCTGTATCCAGATGTCATGTATCCACCTACCAGTTGCGTCACGGCCGAATGCACCTCCCCATGAACACGTTGAATCCAGTTTTGGTGTCGCGCAGCACGTACATGAAGGGGCGGTTGGCGTTGAAGACTGGGATAGAGGAGAGATAGTAGAAGCCCATCTTGCTGTACGTCCCCGCAACTGTCCCCCGCTCCGTGACGTCGATGGCGGAGTCGTGGAAGGCCTGGTTGACGTGCACGTCGCCGCCCTTGATCAACGCCGACAAATCGGCCTTCTTCTCGTCAAACAACAGGTTGATGCCGAATTTTTGTAGGGCCGACTTAATGCTGAATGACTGCGACACGGAGAACTTGGGTAGGTACACCTTAAAAAATAAATAAATAAAATAATAATAATAAAAAAATGAAAAATTAATAGAAAATATATATATAAATAATAATATTTAGAGACGGAGCATTTAATTGATTTTTAAGACCTGTAAACCCAGGGACACAGCTTTTTACTTGAACAAATACCATGATAGAAGTACTGCTACTATCACTACCATCACTACTCCTATTCCTACTATTAGTTTGTTTGTTTGTTGTTTAACGCCGCACTCAGCAATATTCCAGCTACATGACGGCGGTCTGTAAATAATCGAGTCTGGACCAGACAATCCAGTGATTTACATCATGAGCATCGTTCCACGCAATTGGGATACGATGACCTGAATCAACCAAGTCAGCGAGCCTGACCACCCGATCCCGTTAGTGACCTCTTACGACAGGCAGAGTCGCCTTTTAGCATGAGCTGCTGAAGACCTATTCTACCACGGATCTTAGTAGTAGTGGTAGTAGTAGTAGTGGTAGTAGTAGAGACAGCAATGTCGTCTGTGTGTGGTATCTATTAACCCACTGGTTTAGGAGGTGTGTCTTGGTTCTCTCTCGGAGTTGACAAGTTCAAGGACGTTCCCCACCTGTTGTCCGTTATCCAAGGACAACAACAACCTGAGCAACGTGCGCACTTAGCGACATAACTAGACACAGACCTCGCCTACACCGTCACCACATGCTAACTTGGATATCACGTGACTGGACCATTCTCTTGTTTGTAAACGAACGCGCTTATTCTGGAATCAGAAAGAACTGGGCTAACGCAAGCCTTTTGGTGCGCTAACATATTGTCTTTCACTCTTAAGTATATAATACAGTTTCCTCTACCCCATGTGTAGTGTAATAAAGTAGAGTGTTGCCCTGAACTGGTATAGTTAAAGCGCGAGGACAAGCTGGCCACATGAAGTCACACGTACCACGTTATATAAAATTGTGTATAGATCTATCTGGGCCTTCCTGCTCCGACGTTCATACAGTTTGGCCCTCACTCTATAAAGGTTCATATTCCAATGAACCAACAAAGTGAGAGTCAATTCTTAAATAAATTGTTGACTTCCTTTTCGTTAGTCCTACAACAAGGCAACATAATGACAGATGGTCATAAATGGAGTTAATGTCGCTCTTGCCGTTTAAATTGTTATTCTCCTGAAAACGTTTCGTTATTAACTGTAAGTTTCTCATTCAGCTCGTCAATCGAGACTCGTTTTGCCAAACGCCATTTTTGTTACTTGACCAGCGTGTATTCTTTCGCTTCCAACAGCGGTCTCGTAGATTTCAAGAATAGTTTTTGTTGAAGATGATTTTGTATATAATCGTATCCAAATGTATGATGATGAACGTTATTGACCTCAAATGTTTTGCGTTACTTTTGTTTACATTTTTTAAGATTGAAGTCGCTATCACAACGGGGGTAAAAATATCTCCTTTCCCCCGTCACTCGATCAGAGAACATGGAAAATCCTCAAATAGATAACAAGTTTGACAGTTTCAGTTGGAGATTGACACACTGAATAAAAACAACATCAGACGTTCAGCGCAGGTTAGTTGAATAATTTCGCCTTTCACCCAGGAGTTGCAGAATGATGTGACAACACAATACGAACGTTCGTGCATTCGTCACCACTCGCCCCTTTCCGTAACCTGCAAGAAGACTCGTCCCCCTATCGATGAATGTTATGTGCGAAAATACGACAAACCAATCAGAATGCGCGTATGATTTCAAGTTCTTAGTCAAAGAATCCCTCAGAAATAATATTTGATTTTACATATGTCTTGCATCTTAAAATATATCCAAGACACAGTTAAATGTGTTCAAACATACTGTATAATTCCGCATGTCCAGATCTGCTTTAAATTGTATCTAAAATATATATAATATATGGGGAAATATGTGTGAACCATTACACAACGAGTTGACAATTGTTTTAGGTATGCCCGTTTGCGCAAAGACGGAACCCGGTTGCATAAATGGCCACGAGAGGGGCACGAGTCGCTATTCGGCTTGTCCCGGAATAACACGAGTTAGGCACGAATGACGTTCGTGGTGCAGGCCGCCATTGTTACAAGGAATACATACCGAAACATACCTTAAACAATACAATACTAACATATGTGGCACACTAAAAATAAAACATAGTTTCGATGAGTGGGATAATTTGAAAGCGTATGTATGTTTTGTTGTTTAACCCAGCACTCCATTGATTCCAACTCGTGTGTGAGTTTGGCTTAACGCCGCTTTTAACAGTATTCCTGTTATATCCCACAGCTTAATGTGACAGGAAAGCCCGAAGTGATGCAGGTCTCAGACGTTTACCACTTCGGTGAAACACACGAACACGGGAATGGTTCTGACAAACCTAGAAACGGTTATCTCCCAAAACCCCTACATCCCAATTCCCCTACAACCCAGTTCCCCTACAATTAGTTAAAACAACACGCGGCATTTACCTGTCTGGCATTATGAACTCACCTAAAGGAGAGATTAAGGTCTGGAGTAGAGGTAGTAGAAATGAAAGGGGTAGAGCTTTAGGGGGTTAGGGGACTTAAAGGAAAGTTAAAAAAAAAAAAATTAATGTAAGTGTAATGAAAGATGCCTGTATGATGAGAAGACAATTTTTAGAAATTACAAACAACAATAAGAAGAAACAATTATTACACTGAGAAACTGAGATGAGACGATTTACAGTTGAGATGGAAAATGAACATTTTGTTATAATGTATTATGAATTTTGAAAAATGAACATTTTATTATAACGTATTATGAATTTTGAAAAATGAACCTTTTATTATAATGTATTATGAATTTTGAATAATATCGTAATCGTAATTAAATATTTATCTCAATCTATTCGAGTTTCTTGGGTTGTTCCATTGTATGAAATAGGTAACAGACTAGGGATTAGCAGTGTCATGGACCGTGAACTTTGTTGTCTTAAGCTGTAGGGGAAATGGGATGTAGGGGTTTTGGGAGGTTACCCTAGAAACATAATCGGGGAGTCCAGCATGCATGCTTGTCGCAAGAGGCGACAGAGAAGATGGAGCGGCAGGCTCGAGGACTTAGTTCATTGTGCGTCATCGTACCGCCGGGGCGTGGATTGCCGCTTACATTATTGTTATTATTTACAAGCAGCCCTCGTGTAGCTGGAATATTGGGGCGTTAAACAACAAACAAACCTTAATCTAATACTTGAACTTAGATCGCGACAGTCGTAGCCCTAAGTTTGTGGATGTGGGCCCTAGACGTAAAGGAACGCAGGCATTGGTTAATGGCAGACCTATCGAGTTTAATTTAAATCAATAAAAATAACCTTTGTTAATCTGAAACTCGAATTTTACAGATGCTCATTAATCCATCATAGAAAGCTTAACATAATTACATAAATTATATATCTCTTATTTCACTCAGGGAGCGGTTGGGTAGCCTAGTGGTTAAAGCGTTCGCTCTTCACGCCGAAGTCCTGGGTTTGATTCCCAACATGGGTACAATGTGTGAAGTCCATTTCTGGTGTCCCCCGCCGTGATATTGCTGGAATATTGCTAAAGGCGGCGTAAAACCATACTCACTCACGACACAAATTACTAGGTTTAGAACTTTAGAGGTACTGCTAACAGCTGGAGCATCCACGTCACTCCTCTACCGGTGAGATTGAAACTTTGAATCAAGGAGAAACCATACGAAGCCATTGATCCACACCCAGTGACTGGAATTTTTAAGTAGCACGTGATCTATTTCTACCGAGAAATGACACGACACCATTGTTATGTCGTCCAGTTCAATCGTAGTGTAGAAAAAGTCTAAGTAATTCCTACTAGATCATGAGCATGTGTTCATGAATCACTATCAAAAGTTATGATCCGTAAAAGTTGAGCGTATCCTGCCCCACCGGTAGCACCCGTCACAAACACATGCAAAGTCAAGAGCGTTTTCAAATAATGTTCCGTTTCTTTAATTCGTCAGTATAACGTAACATAACCTTACCTCTGTCTTGGCGGCCTTCTTCATGTTAGTGATAGCCTTCTCCAGGCGAAGCGTCCTTTCCGGGGTGAGAACCTTCTCCAGCCTGCCTAGTCCGTCCTTCTCGCGGGGCAGGATGATATACATGGCGAACCGGTTCCCCTCGTACGGCAACTCAAGCATGTCGAAGCCGAGTTTTGAGTTCTTGTTCCATCTGTAATTGCCCCTCTTGTGCATGGTAGGCACCATGATATGTGTGGTAGCGTTCAGATAGAACTTCTGTTGGCGGGTTTCCGAGGTAGTAAACTGGTCCCTCCATCTGGCGCTCATGTACAGCGTGTTGAACAGGTACAGAGCCTGGTCGGACGTGATGTCGTCTGCTGACAGCTTTCCCTTCACCATCCCACCCGTAGCAGACGACAACATGTTGTTGATGCTCGTGGAGACCTCCGACTTCATCTCGGGATCAAACTCCAGCAATGTTCCGTTAAACGTCTGTTGGTAGTCTTGAACCGTTCTGTCGACCAGCTGGAAGTTCTGATTGACAATCATGATGTTTGTCGTGGATATGTTGACGCTTGGGTCTTGTACGAAACTGCGGTACACCTCTCCGTACACCGAGGACATCTCTCGCTTGTCCACGAGCTCCAGGAACAGGCTCTTCCTGAGTTCCACGAGGGTCTTGTCGCTGGCGCCCCTGACACACACGGCCAGGAGGGTGCAGATGCTGATCGGGGAGAAAACGACGTTGTTGTTGTTGGTAGCGACTTCTTCGTAGACACCAAGACTCACTCTGTTGCACGCTCTAGCAAGGAAGGGCAGAAGTTTTTGACCTGTCAGACGTCTGGTTGGCTTACATTGCACATCTGTAAGGAGAATACAGCTTATTTGATAAACGGGTCCAGTGCTTTATTTAATGTGATTTAAAAATAAAATGTTTCACCGAAAAATAGGGAAACAATTGTCCTAAAAAATAACTTTGGCGCTGAGCATGCTGGGTGTCCTGAAAACATAAGTTTGCTTCTTCTCCTTGCACAAAAATATTTGCACAGAACTATTTGCACAGAAGGGGCACGGGTGGCCTAGTCGTCTAAGACGCCGCGATTCGCTGTGCTGAGTTGCGTCCCTTGGACACACCAGAAACCTATGATTCTGGGTTCGCCCCGATTATGTTTCTAGGTTTGTCAGCACCGTGCTCGTGGGTTTCACCGAAATGGTAAACGTCTGAGACCTGCACCCCTTCGGGCTTTCCTCGCACATCAAGCTGGCCCGCTGTGATATAACTGTAATACTGTTAAAAGCGCCGTTAAACACAAGTCACTCACTATTTGCACAGAAACTACATGCTCAGAATCTATTTTCACAAATATATTTGCATAGAAACAATTTGTACAGAATCTATTTGCACAGAAACTACTTGCAAAGAAACGACTGTCACAGAAACTATTTGCACAGAAACTACTTGCACAGAAACTATTTGTACAGAAACTATTTGCACAGAAGCTTTTTGCACAGAAACTATTTGAACAGAAACTATTTTCACAGAAGTTTTTTTTTATACAGTAACTATTTTACAGAAACTATTTGCACAGAATCTTTTTGCACAGAAACTATTTGTTCAGAAACTATTTGTACAGAAACTATTTGCACTGAAAGTACTTGCACAGAAGCTATTGACGTGTTTTGAAGCAGTGACCAAATAAATATCTTCTTTCAAAAACACAAATCTCTGACAAAAAGCTCAGCTCCTCTTTAAAAGTAGGGTAGATATCATCCTCTTTTCATCAGGGTTGTAATCAACACTGGAGGCCATCGTTGTCACTTTGTAACCAGTGACGCAAACAGACAGGACACAAGCAGATAATGAAGCACACCAGGTTTAGTCTTTCCCAGCTCAGACTTGTGTTCCGATGTGAACAATATCCAGTCTGTAGGAGCCGTGGACAGTATTGTCTGTGGGAGGTGTGGACAATAGCTCTCTAATGTGTTGTGAAACTTAGATTGTAGATAGAAATACATAGAGGACACCAGCCTGCATCTCCAGAGGACCTACTTGCGAATCTATAACTCTTTCTGTTGACTTCCAGTCTTTTCGCGTATATTGAGGTACTGTAAATCCGCGTAAGGATTTACGAAAAGGGTGCGCTGCGGTTGCGTGGCGGATTTGAGCCAAGTGCGCACACCCATTTCCACTAATACCTCTTTAAACGCAAACTAATACTGAATTCAATTGTTATATATAAATCAGTAAACAATAATAACTTCACTAGTCTGTCATTCAGGCCCTGAAACAAATATATTCACTACACCCCATGCAAGTCTATAATGTTTGGCAAGTCTAGATTACACAGTATCAGTATTACTGTCTCCGGGATCCTATGTAATAATTTAAAAAAACTATATACTACTCAAAAGAAGTTAAGGATCACCCGATTCTTTCATAACGGTAGAGTTAATCTGTCATGACATGAGAGATTAACTATAGTAATATGAAAGAATCAGGTGATCCTTAACTTCTTTTGAGTAGTATATAATTCAACAACTCTCTGTAAAATATGTTAATTTCAGAGACTAGATGTTAGTCTGAGACCGCTTCAATAATCTCAAACGCTACACGTGCACCTCACCAATGCTGTTAAGCATCAACTTTCGCTTTGTGAGGCAGTCTCCAGTTTATAAGGGTGTATTATAACTTCCTAACAAGGAAACTTAAGACAAGAGAATTAGTGTTTATTCATCAGAGCTCGAGTTGGAAGGCCTATGTACTTATTTTTCATGAGATCGTAGCAACTTATGATGAAATAAGAATTATTATTAAATAATGTTAAAATTTAGATAAAAATATATTTGACAAAATTCATCTTTTCAAAACAAGTGATATGAACTAATTTTTTTATGTGGCCTAATTTACTTGTCATGCGACATGCCAGTGTCACTGTACAATCTGAGATGGACAGGATTGTCACAACAGCTGGGAGGGGAGGAAGTGCACACGACATACCTTGGACTCGAGTCATGGCCTAGAACACGGCCAATACGTGCAAACAGTCAACGCATTTAAATACATTACGAGATTAAAGTGTCACAAGTCTGGGGATTACCTGTTTTACAATTGTTTTGTGATTATGTACAACATTGTATTTAGAAGTTAGCGAGTTTTGGGAGTTGGGTTATGTTGTTTGTGACGTCTGGGCCAGACAAACCAGTGAGAGATGGGGTAAGTATCGGGGTACAGTCGGGTCTTATGCCGCCTCTCATGTCAGCTTTTAAGTCGGGTCTTAGGTCACCCCTTATGTCAGCTTTTAAGTCGGGTCTTCAGTGGCCTCTAATGTCAGCTTTTAAGCCGGGTCTTATGCCGCCTCTCATGTCACAATGACGACTGTGTATGACCGGAAGTGGAACCCAATGTATAGACCCTCTTCCAACAGGTCACCCCCCCCCCCCCACCCCCACCCCCACCCCCCCCCCCACCCCCACCCCCACCCCCCCCCCCACCCCCCACCCCACCCCACCCCCCAGCCACACACAGCAACACGTTGCCTTCTTAAACATTTCCACATGTTCTGATAATTTTAATATCCCGTTACTGATAATAAGAGGATCCTATAAACTTTTGGAGACAGATACCAGCCCGCATCGCGGCTATGAAAACTGTCGGGCGCTGATACTCAGTTTCAAGTTGTTAATTTCAGAACAAACACTTCCGGGAATCGTGTTCGTTTCTGAAGAGAAACAACGAGATAAGTACTCTAAATGTATCGCTGAAGCATGTCCTTATGGTCGGAATATTATCAGACTAAAACCCCGCACACTGCACGCGCAGGGCGAACACAGGTCACCACGGGGATTCCGTACGTGCTGTTTGCAGATGTATTTGTTGCGGAAGTTACAGAATCTGACATGACATTCACTTCTTCACTTCACTCAATGAGTGAGTGAGTGAGTTTGGTTTTAGAATGTATTTTGGTTATATGACGATGTCTCAGTGATATGTTAGAGCAGTGAGTGAATTAGTGAGCTGGGTTTAATGTCTCTTTAAACACTATTCCAGTTATATCACGGCGTGTGGGAGGAAGGCCGAAGTGATGCGGGTCTCAGACGTTTACCACTTCGGTGAAACCCACGAGCACCGGTATGGTGCTGACAAACCTAGAAACATAATCGGGGCGAACCCACAATCATATGTTCCGGAGTGCCCAAGGGACGACTTGAGAATTGCGGCTCCTTAGACGACTGTTTGTTTGTTTGTTTGCATGTTGTTTAACGCAGCACTCAGCAATATTCCAGACAGCGGTCTGTAAATAATCGAGTCTGGACCAGACAATCCAGTGATTGATAACGAGAGCATCGAGCAATTGGGATACGATGACATGCATCAACCAAGTCAGCGAGCCTCTTACCGCAAGAACGGGTTGCTGAAGACCAAAACCAACCCGAATCTTCACGGGTCCCTTTGACGACTGGGCCACCCGTGACCAAAATCTTGGAGGAGGCGATGTAAGTATTAGAAGTTTACAAGTTGGTGAAGCCCTCAGGCATGACTATTGTAAGATCACGGAACATTACCAGGGTCTGGGATTCGAACCCACGATCAGAGGATCCGGGCACGACTCTACATGGCGAATTATCTCGCCTTTGCTGACTGGTGCAACGTCAAAATGACGTAAGTGAGCCATTTTCCAGTGTGAATTACGCACAGACAACCCCCGACTCAGATGTCTCTGCCCCTAGGCGACACAGTCGTACGTTCCCACGTTCCCAAACATTGACGACCATGGCTGTGCGTGGGTTCAGAAGCAACAACGCCCTGGCATTACTCCAATGGGAAACACCTGCTCTAATGCGAGTCGTCAACCCTGCACGTCAACAACACCACCTACAGTGTACCCCACCTCGTTAATCCTCACGGTTTCTAGTGACACGTTTCCAGATTAACGAGTGGTTGTGTTCTAGTTCAGAAGACCTGCCCTGGATATCCTGTGGGCCTCTTGTCTATGCGAAGACGCTTCCAGCAATACCATTAAAACAGGTTTCCGGACTGATAAGGTTTGACTGAACGTTGGACAGGTCGGATTCTATGTTTGTCCGAAAACAATAAACTTCTCAAAGATTACTCCAGCAATAATAAATGTTCCCTTATCCAGGGAAGTAACGAGAAACAACGAGAAATAACGAGAAATAACGAGAATAAACTCTTTACGAATCGGACTCTCCTCGCTTACCCGTAGTTTGATTTGATCCTTTCAGAAATATGTTAATGTCCCATTCAAGACCACGATATTTATCTATCTTGATTACATTAGATATAGCCTATATACATGTAGTTTATCCTTAATTTGATTCAACACGGGCATAAATATCCCAACCGTGTCCACAAAGTATCGTACATGTACAATTCCGTTTGCGTTTCCTCAAACCACGGATGTATAATTCATCATACATCCGTGCTTAAGCCTTTAATCCACGTTCGCAGGATTGTATTTGAATATTTCAGCCAACACATGGCGTGAGAGGTGGAGCTCCCAATAAATACAACTTAAAATACAGATACTACCCCAAAATAGACAAACGTCTCAGAAATGAAATATTTTTAGATAACATAAAAAGGAGCCCAGAGACTTTCTTGGATGTGTTTGTTTCAGGGTCTGTATGGCAGACGACCCAAATACCACTCCTGCCCTACGTCCATCCTCCATTATTGTTTATCTGAAAGGTGTCTGTTTATCGGACCTCTAAACCAACAACTTTTTGTATGTCCACCTCGTGTGAACTGTATTCCGTAAACGGAAAATACTGTTTGCTGAAAGAACCAGTTTAAGCGGGTCTATTTGCGCGACATGCAGACACTGGGCTGACTCACACGACAGTTTTAAACATTCCCACCGCCGTGGTTCTCGACAGTCGTGTCACACGCTGAACACAAAAACTCAATTTAAAATTTCTTGCCGAATGTTAATATGCTTAATATATGCTCAGATTGCATCCCATACAGACTGACAATGCACAGCGTATTGTCGCAACGTGGCATGGTCCGTGTAACACCGGAATGAGGTCATCCGCCCAGATTCCAAAAGGTGAAGACAGATAAAAGACTTTTGACTTTTTGAGTGAGGCGTACATTGGTTCTCGACCATGTGCTACTTCTACATGACGCCACGTGCAGGTCGCACACCATGGTGACCTCATGCTCGCCTACCTCCTCATAGTGAAGGTGCATACTCCCACCAGCTGCGGGCGATCTAAATTGCCTAAACTTTTCATTATAACAAAAATTATCAAAGAATAGTATGACTGAAATATGTCCTTGTTCCTGCTTTAATTGGACCCCTGAACAATCTAGGACAGCGAAAACAAATATCATTACGAAACAAAACCTTTTAAGGACATTTCAACATTAATTGTGTAATATAAAAATGAATCCACGTTACAACCATAAAATATATCTGTTCCTAGCTGGTGCCAGGATGACTGCGGGCCTGCGGGACTGCGGGACCCTGCGGGCAGGATGCACAACGAACAGATTACTAAAGATACTCACCACACAGAAGGAGGATTCCGCAGAGCTGCACAAGGGCGAGGGTTTGGCGTTTGTTCATCATGATGACGTAAGAGGCCGCTGTTGTGGAAGTGTCATTGACAACTAAAACTTTTCAGCGAGGTTTCCCACTTTATAGTGATCCAGCCTCGAGTTGAGTCACGCGTCACATCCCCTCCGTGACCTCGGCTGCTGCTGGCGATCAGTATGCTCTGTGGGACAAAAGGACTGCCCTCGCGCCCTGCTGGCGAATAGAACCGCCGTGATGAACGAAGGCTAGGCTCCGCCGCAGCGCCACTAGTCTCTGTGATGCGTGTGCAGTTCCAAATTCAATTTCAGTTCAAATATGCAGGCAAAATAGTTCTATATTAAAAACAGTCTAAAAATAGTAATAGTGAGGTAAACTACTGTATATCAGAGAACTGTTAAAACAATGTAGGGAAATGTACACCCAGCACAGAGGCCGAACAATGCTTTTTAAGGTTGTTTATAAAGTGTGTTGTGGGGTGGGGTGGGGTGGGGTGGCAGTGTTTGTATTCAACACTGTATCCAAAGAGGCTGTTGTGAGTCAGCGAGTGGGTGACGCTGTCGTAGAGGAGGATAAATTGGGGCTCGTTTGGCAACAATGGCTGCTGAAACGACGGCCTTACCCAGGACACCAGGTGTTCGCGAAATGGACGCGCATGTCATGAAGCAGCACCCGTCAAGGTCAAAATAAATAACTTGTTGCGAGAATTCCTAAAGTCGTCGTTGAAAGCAAGTTGTTCTGAAGATAAGACAGTGTGGCCTTTGAAATAAAACCCTTTCCATTTCATACGAAATCTCTGTATAAAACAGAGTGGACTGTACGATTCCGACTATATCACGATCATGTGTTCATGAATCACTATCAAATAGTGATGAAACCAGCTGTTCGCGAAAAGGTGAGCGTATCCTGCCCCACTGGTGGCACCAATCACAAACACATGCAAAGGCAAGTCAATTGTTCACCTAAAAAACACGGGAACATATGGTACAAATTAAAATAGGGAATTACATCGGACATCATTTTGTTACTGCGTGATATTTGGAGTGTCCCCCCATGTCTACTATAAAACCTTTTTAAAAGCTCTACTGAGGCCGTGAACGTTGTAAAATTGATCAAAAGACTTTTGAGAAAAACTAGTATGACGTTCAAAAGTTGTGAAATGTAGACACCAAAGGATGGATCTGCTGGAATATTGCATGACAGGTGCCCCGCTTGCCATACAGTCTTGCGGATATTTTTGCCACTCTGAATGATTATTCATTGATCTAAATATGAAACAGAGGCGGCGTTATTACTGCTCTCGTTCTCTTCATTGCTAGTTCAGGTGGGGGAATCAGTTGAAGAGGACATCCTATTTGATGGGATTTGATCAGATCATCGATATACCGAGGCTTAAGTTAAACCTCTTTGGGGCGGTCGGGTAGTCTAGTGGTTAAAGCGTTCGCTCGTCACGCCGATGACCCTGGTCGATTCCCCACATGGGTACAATGTGTGAAGTCCATTTTTGGTGTTCCCCGCCGTGATATTGCTGGAATATTGCTAAAAGTGGCGTAAAACCATATTCACACACTGACTAAACGTCTTGGCCAGATTATCTTCTTTTGACTTTGCCAATCCGAGCAGAAATTCTAATTCATATGAATAGGTGAGGTGAAATGGGTTTAACGTCGCGTCCAAGATTATTGCACTTATATAGCGACGTGCATGCACGTGTATGTGTGTGTGGCTGCTTGTACTAGTCCGGACTGATGCCGATTTATAGTGCTAGCACACTGAAAAACCATGCCGCAGTTTAACATGAATACCCCACTCAGACACAGTATACTGACTCCGAGCCGACCAGTCCTTGTTTTAGCCCCTTAATGCCGAGCGCCAGACAGGGTAACAACAAGTACCATCTTTTAACGTCTTTTGGTATGATGCGGCCGGGGATCGAACCCGGACCTACCGCACTCCGGGCGGACGCTCTACCAGTAGATCACGGAGACGGTCTCATATGCAGGAAGAAACAAGATCCGCAATAAGGGAGCGCAATTGGCGCCCATGGGGATGCCTGCTTCTTGCCTAAATCTGACCCCCAAATCTTACGTAGGTGTTATCAATGACATTTTACATATTGTTTTCTCAGTAAACTTCAGATGGCAATTGCTTTTATTTTTTACAAATTGCCCTGAACCTCTGAAAATAACATTGTAACCGTATCTATGGTCACCACGTTTTGTAACAAAAGAATAAAATTTTCCCTTAAGTTTGTCGAGTGTGATAGCGGTGTACAAAGATCGAAATGTTTTGCTCAACACAAGCACGTATCGGAAATGCATGCAACTGGCTACCGAAGCTGTTGAGGTACCTCCAAAAGGCAAATACGTTATTCGCTCACAAGCATCTGAAACGAAACAAATGTAAAATCGAGTCAATATTACTCGAGACTAGAAATTATGATGAAAGAGGAGACGTATACTTTCTTATAAAAGAAGTATTTTTGTTGTTGTGTTATTGAATGAAAGGATGAGTGAGTGAGTATGGTTTTACGCCGTTTTTAGCAATATTCCAGCAATATCACGGCGGGGGATACCAGAAATGGGCTTCACACATTGTACCCATGTGGGGAATCGAACCCGGGTCTTCGGCGTGACGAGCGAACGCTTTAACCACTAGACTACCCGACTGCCCCTGAATGAAAGGATGAATGAGTGAAACTTAATAAGGAGCTGAAACATCCCTTAACAGTCGGTCTGTCAGCAGCTCATCTTCCCGAGGCAAGGGCGATTACTGTCTGTAAAAGTCCAGTTTCCACCCTTGCCGAACTTGGCTGGAATTTCTGGGCTGGATCGGGGCGCCACCAGTGGCTATTACGAGTTATGTCCCTTCTATGTCACTCCTATTGACCAATCAGATTACACCTCTGATATCACTTGCATGACTTCTTATCGATAATTAAGATGTAAAATTATGATAAAACGGGTCTTACTTCGCGAAGTGCATCAAATCACGTGAGCATCATGAATAAAAACATGAAAAGATTTGGAAAATATCTGTTGAAGGCGGTACACATGCTTTGCAAATCCTGCAATCGACCGAAAACTGCACGGCAGTTGATGACCCGGATGTCGATTTCGTTACGCGATTTTGAATGAACTCGTTAGTCCAGCTAAAATATAACTCCATAATACCATAATACCAGCCTAGTTCATGAAAGGGTGGAAACTGGACTTTTATAGTCAGTTAACTCCCTTGATTCGTGAAGATGTCAGCAGTTTCATTAAACTTATCTATTAACACAGAATTCATTTGTATAAATATTGTATTGCCCTTTTGGTACACGATGCCACATCCAATAAATTCCTTAAATGACCTCTCGATGATCACTAGTGATGCTGTAGTAGCTACATGTCCCACGTCAGGGGAGTAGCTCCCAGCCGCATGACGCACGACTCCGGGGGTCAAGTTGTATCGGATTCTAGTGGCACTGCTCATTTCCGGAAATGAGTCCCGTGTAGGTCACGTGATCAACGACTACGCCATTGACAGTGGTTGCAGACGGTGAGCGGTTGATGCAATCCCAGCTGTTTTGCGCCGCACGTCAAGTCCTCGTGCGTATTGTCACAAGCACGCGCCTGCAGTGACGACATGTGCTTGGTATGCTCCATTACCATCGTCGATGACGCAATACTCAGTGAAGTACAATACAAACGAGGGAGTGTGTGTGTGTGTGTGTGTGTGTGTGTGTGTGTGTGTGTGTAGGGTGTAGGGTGTGTGTAGGGTGTGTATGTGTGTGTAGGGTGTGTGTGTGTGTGTGTGTAGGGGGTGGGGGTGAGTGGGGTGGGGTGGGGGGTGGGGGGTAGGGTGTTCTACATTAATATATATATATATATATATATATATATATATATCATTTTATTTTAAAACACCACTGTTACTAACCCTTATCAAACTTTTAAAAATTGACATATGAGATATATGAGACATAGTTTGAAACACAAAGGATTTTACACTCAGAAGCAGAAAACAATGTATAACACTTATATTTTAATATATAAAGCATTATATCTTAAAATCTCATTTTTCAAAAGTACATGACACACTAACACTAATACCAATTCAAAATACAGAACACTGGGTCTAGTTTCACTTCCTCGTGTCCCGTTTTAACCTACACAAGTGGTAAATGTCTGAGACCAGTGTCCATGTTCTCAATATATGGTGTCAGAAATTGAAACTAAATATAAAAACGGAAAAAAACTGAAAGAGTCGTGGATGACACACAGTCCTGGGATAAAAAAACAAACCTCGTAAAACGTTTAGTAGATTTTAATATGAAATTCTTACTAATCTGATGAAATTCTTACTAATCTGTGGATAGAGTATTAATCAACGCATAAACCAAGTTACAAAGATGCTCACTGCTGCTGCTGATGGCAAATGTGGTGTTACTGTGAGGGATGACGGTGACAACCCCAATGATTACAAGCTACTAACTTTTAACACTTATGTTTTTTCCCAAATGTTTAATTTAGCAAACTTAAGTCAAAAACACCTCTGTGATACCCGTATCAAATTAATCACCGTCAAATAACCATTTCTTGTTTGTTTCGTTTAAGTCACCGTGAAACCTGGGTGTATGCTTTCTCTGGCTCGTTGAGGTGAAGGTGAAATGGGGTTTTAAGTCGCGTTCAAGATTATTGCACTTATATAGCTCGGCGGTTTAATGAGGAAAACTATCACCAAAAGCGGGCTTCCACAGAAGATCCATTGCTTGGATGAGATCAAGTACTGGAATAAACCTCGAGCCCCCTCCCCCCCCCACCCACCCCCACCCCCCACCCCCACCCACCCTCCACCCACCCCCGTGAAGATCCGGGGTAGAATAAGTCTTCATCAACCCATGCTTGTCTCCCCCCATGAAGATCCGGGGTAGGATAGGTCTTCAGAAATCCATGCTTGCAAGAGGCGACTAACGGGATCGGGTGGTCAGGCTCGCTGACTTGGTTGATGCATGTCATCGTATCCCAATTGCGGGGATCGATGCTCATGATGTCAATCACTGGATTGTCTGGTCCTTACTGGATTATTAACAGACCGCCGTCATATAGCTGGAATATTTCTAAGTGCGTCGTCAAACAACAAACAAACAAACAAACAAATGTTTGGCACCAAAAGACATTCTCTTTTTAAGATAACCTCTGTATTGTCCC